TAGGGAAAGTTGAAGGCAGAAGAAGGGGAAGACCAAATAGGGCCACAGCATTAAAGTTCACAAGAGCTGAGCAAGCCTGTCACGGACAGGCATTTTGAAGGGCTTAATGGCACTTAAGAAACATTCAGGACATGGGGTTGTGATATTGAGGACTCTGTCAAATCCAGAGCCCTGCTTAACTTGAGCTTACAGGGCAGAAAGGAAGGAAGAGCCTGATTTTTCTTTTTTCCTTTTTCTCTTCCCTCTCTCTTACTCTCTCTCTCTTTCTTGAACTGTTTGCCTCTCCTTGATGCAATTGGAAAGACATGAACTATGCCAGCTGCAGGGGGCATTTTGAAAGCATGGCCTTAGAATGCTTCCCTTTGTGTTCTCTGAACTGGCTGCAGATCTTTCCACAGTTTCACAGAGGAAGCTTGCAAGAATGTGTAGGCCTTCCTCTCTAATGTGGAATCCCCATCTCTACCCTCCAAGAAGATGATCCTAAAAATATATGTTCCCTGGGAATAGTTACCATAGGATTGCAGTCTTGCTCAGGTTACAAATTAACAGTATTTTCTTGGATGGGGTTTCTTGTTAGTAGGAAAGCTGCAGAATGCTTTAAAGATGAACGCAGGGCAAAACTTTCCAGAAGTGTTCTGGGATTCTCTTCTTTCCAAAGATCTGCCAAAATCTGATCTTTTAGTCTGGCGAGCAGAATAGCAATAGGTTTGCATTCAGCAGAATATTCCAAAAATAATGTAAAAGCAACAAAGAATTTCGTAGCACTCTAAACAAACAAATCTACTGTACTGTCAGTATTTGTGGATGGACTTCATTTTGTGAGATTCGTGAAGGGTAGTTAGTGTGGTTAGTGTGTTTTTTTAAAAAAAATAATCAAATTTCAGCATCAGTAATGAAAATGCATGAAAATTGCTCTGAGTAATATGAAAGCAAATGTTACCTGATAATTTTGAGGTTTTATTATATCTTTGATTAGAAAAGGTTTTTTTAAGTAGGTGCTTTAATGTGGCAATATTTTATTCCTGAGGAGATTGGACGCTTATCTCCACACACACTCTTCTCTCTGCCCAACTTAGGCAGAGAGCCTTTGTATCTTTTCCTGTGTGAATTTGCAACTTCAAAAAATATTCACAAATGAGAATTCTGCTCTGTTTTGGAAATCATTAAGTTATTTAGAAGTGTATGAAGCTGTCTTATATCAACACAGTCTAACACAGAACATTCTAGCTTGAGATACTGCTTTGTGCATTGTTGGAAAAGGAGAATTTGTATCGACAAAAAGAGGACAGCAGTTTTCATAACATTTCTGTATGTAGAATAATGTGTATAGGCACACATTTAGAAACAGTCTAATTTAAAGAGAAACAATGCACTATTTTATTATGGAGGTTTCTAGGCTTTCTGTTACTTTAGATTTATGTTATTAATAAAACAAAATAGTGAGGGGGTTTTTAAACCCTTGGTTTAGTTTGAATTCCTCATTCATGAACCAGAGTTCCACAAACAGGGCATCATATTTCTTAAAGGGCCTCAATGGTGGCTTGTCAGTAGAAATATTTTTCAAGATTTCATAGAAACACCGGATCCAATGCTTTCATGTTACCAGCTTAGATTAAATGTCTAGCATTTAAATGTCTAGCATGGTAATCATGCTAGACTTAGATTTTTAATTCTTAAGAAAATGTTAGGAGTTTTAAGAGATAGCATACCAAATATCTTGCATTATGATGATGTAATGATGAAATCTATTTATTGTTGTGACTTTAACTTTTTTTAAAATAGAAAACTGCTTAATGAGATGTTAGGAGAATAGTCAAATCAAAATATGCAGAGATACAGTTTATATTAGAAAGAGATGAGTCCGGAAGGAGATTTGTGCTGTTGCTTTGTCTTCTCTGTATATTGACCATGGATAAACTATAAAGCATCTGAACTGACAATTGGTAAATGGCCCTTTGATGAAGACCTATACCTATAGAACTGGTGCCTGGCCGAGGTAATGGGCTGGATAAGGGCCAATAAACTGAAGCTCAGTCCAGACAAGACGGAGGTCCTGCTGGTGTGTGGTTCGGGCCTCGGGATGGGGGACTTGGGCCTTGTCCTAAATGGGGTTGCACTCCCTCTGAGGAACAGGGTCGCAGCTTAGGAGTGCTCCTCGATCCTGAGCTGTCTCTAGAAGCTCAGGTGATGGCGGTGGCGAGGAGCGCCTTCCTTCAGCTTCGGCTGATCCATCAGCTGCATTCCTTCCTGGAGAACGACTGCCTGGCGACAGTGACACACGTGTTGGTAACTTCCCGATTAGATTTCTGTAACACGCTCTATGTGGGGCTGTCCTTGAAGATGGTCCAGATAGAGTGCAGAATAGAGCTGCCAGGCTGCTGACGGGGACTAGGCGTTGTTCTCATATAACCCCAGTTCTCTGTCAGCTCCACTGGCTCCCGATTGAAGTCTGGGCCCAATTCAAGGTGTTGGTTATGACCAATAAAGCCCTCAACGGCTTGGGACCTGGGTATCTAAAGGAACGCTTGCGTCCATATATGCCCTCCCGCCCCTTGAGAACAGCTACAGATGCCCTTCTCCGGGAAACCTCTGTGAATGATATTAGGAGGGTGAATACCCGGAGGAGGGCTTTCTCTGCGGTGGCGCTCCATCTATGGAATGCGCTCCCCAGAGAGGTCCGCCTGGCGCCATCATTATTTGTTTTTTGGCACCAGGCTAAGACCATTTTTTTAAAACTCATTTTAATTGTTAATTCATTTGTATTTATAGGATTTTAAATCTTTTAAGCCAAGATGCACCGGGTTTTAATATTTTTACTGTTTAATTGTTATATTTATGTATTTTGTTTTTGTTGTGAGACGCCCCGAGGCTTTGTTGTGATGGGGGCGGCATAAAAATGTTATAAATAAATAAATAAATACTGATAAATATTAAAGTATAGGAATAATGAGATTTGATGAGGATGATTGGAACTGGCAATGTTGTTCAGAATTTTCTTTTAAACGGCAGCACTCTGAAACTGTTTGGATATTGGCAGTATCTGTTTGCTGTCTCAGGATCTGGTGAATAAACAAACGAAACAAATACACCTAGCTTTGAGGATCATAATTTCTTAAAGTTGGGCTGGAGAATGTGTGGCT